AAAAGAAAAAAAAGATAGAAAGAGAGAGAGAGAGAGAGAGAGAGAGAGAGAGTAAAACCATTGCGATCCTATCGTAGGTAAACCAACTTTCGTTATCTATTTAGCTTCGCCTTTTACAAACAGTTATCTGCTGCAAACAGTCGGTGGATGATACGCACAACGATATCGTCACAGGCTCTTCCTCTCCCTCTGATTTTACCGTAAACTGATTTCTTCTTCGTTTTTTTTTCTTCAATCGTTGTATCTCATAGGAAAAGAAAATGCAATTCTTTCCCTCTGATACATCGCATCGCATCGCATCGATAAGAAAAGAATACACACACGTGCGCAGGCAGGCAGGCAGGCAGCAGACCTGAGGGGAAATTCTCGCATCGGTGTTTTCAGTACACCATATTCGATATAATTAAAGAGCATAAATAAACACAATGGTACAAGGACCGGTTAGAAAGGGCGAGAAGCGGTGGCATTGCCTACGTAGAAGGGATATTCGCTCGGTAGGTAAGAGCGCATTGAATGCAAATGGCCACAGGGCTATCCTCGTATATAGGTGTATACGTTAGCATGCTTACATGTTGCGCACGCTTGGCTGCTCGATGCCTTGCCGAGAGTTTTAGCCGAGTCTCGAAAGGTGACCGCTGCCTCTATACAGATACACGGAGGAGAGTATATCCGTATACGGGTAGTTGATCGCGAATCCATACATAGGTAGGCGTAAGTAGGCGCGTCTACTTCGCGTAGTATTCACCGGGTGGCCCTCTCATTTCGAATCAGCACAGTAAAGTCCATTTCTCAAAGTTCCATTTTTCATTATCCATTTCTATATCCATACGGATACATTTTATCTGTTCGTTTTTTTTACGCCATAGTCACATCCGTGGTATCAGTTACACATATATTTCTCTATGCAAATATTTACTTTACTTGGTTCGTTATCGGTTCGTTATCCCAATTAACATACACATACATATGGTACTATCCGCACCTTGTCCTTTCCTTTGTACGCAACTGTCGAGGGAGAAAAGGGCAAGGGCAAAACATAACGCATTGTTCGCGTTCTTGGTAATCTTGGCAATTTTCATTCGGCGCGATAAGTTTATCCCGAAGGAGAATTCGAGACGCTCTTTAGATTGCCTCTCTACGTTGACGCAGGAATTGTCGGCGGGGCGCACCAACCAGAGTTGCTTGCGACGCGCCAGTCTGGTCCGGTATGCCCACGGATTCGATATAAATAGACACGAGTGTGCAGCAGCGTTCGTGCCCTCGTGCGACTATTCGATAGGCGACCATCGGCGGCGAACAGACAAAGTTGTTGTCCCCTACTCTGGCTAACCCAACTAACCATACGGACATTTATCCCTCGTGTTATTCTTTTTAACCGATTTTAGCGATTCGCAGCTATTAAGACTTCTCGTTCTATCAGCCACTACATACTTGCATATTACCCCATCGTTTCTACACGTTCGTGAAGTTAACGCCATCCAACTATTTGGACGAGGAAAGGGAAGAGAGGAAGAAGTACGATATATACATGCGACACCAGATTCGATTTAACTGTCGCATTTGAATTCACGAAATCCCGTTAACACGCACACTCTATCTTGGTAAAATACGCGTTACGTATGGTGTAGCTGCCTATACGTGGTGCCGTGGCCGTACGCTTAACATTTAAATTGCATCGTTTCTGTCTGGTTCGTGTCACATCGAGTCCCTGATTTCCCTAAGCCGGACGAACCGTACAATTCACGTCACACATTGCTCTCTCTCCCTCTCTCTCACTCACACGGTCTTACCGGTGTAACCACGTTGCTACTATTTGCCTCAACTTTTTTCTCCTTTCCACTCCGTTTTTCTGTTTATCATATCCTAACCTAACATAAATACATATGTATGTTACCTTATCGGCAAACATGTGCTATCAATTCATTTTTGCGAACCGGTAAAAGAATCGGAAGGAAAACGGGAGAAAGGGAGGGGAATGTATAGGACGACGGTGTTGTAGCAGAGAGGGATACAGTCGAAGGTGACTCTCCTCCTGGTTCAGGCATCGTCGCGAGGGTACTCGATTACTCAATTAAACCGTAGTGTCGGTAGGCGTGGCAGTTGGACGTACTCACGCACATACATATATCACAGAAGTACCTACACCGCATCGGTACATATAGAGCCCAGTGGTAGAAACGGGATTTGTACGTGCATACGAGAACTAAGGAATATCTGCGATTACTACTCCTACGATGTTTACATTGACGCAAGAGAGCATCAAAGGGAGCGCGTACGGTAAATCAATTGTACCTACGTACGTTGAATTTATGAACTTTTAACGAACTTGGTAACGAACAACGGAGCAAAGTAGTTCAAGTCGCGTACAAACGCAAAAGCAAACGTGAACGCGAATCGTGCCTGTTCGATATACATATATATGTATATATATATATATATATCGGTGTTCGCAGATTGCATCTTGCGATAAACGTTTGTATGCGCCGCAACCCTCAGACTGTGCCTTGCAAACTTAGCTGTCCACGCCGGAAATACCTACTACATACACCACTGGGACTGTGAATGGAGCCGTTGTTTCAACAGCATTTACTCCTTACTGTACATCGTTCAGATGTACGGAGAGAGAACTATCAAACGAAAAAATAACCAGCAGATCAATTTTCATCATCTTATTTGTAAGATTAGGTTACGTTAGTCGATCCTTTTTTCCAAAATTTTCTCCTCCTCCTCCCAATTTTCTTCTTCCTCGTTTCCCATTATTTTCTCGCATTCTTTGCACCCTGCTCTCTCTATAATAATCCTATTATCCTTGGAGTAAATTTTCTTACAGTTCACGACCTTCCGCGGAAGAATGGGAACGGAAGTTAGGTTACCGTAAGCACAATACGAAAAGGTCTCGTTCTTTTCTGCATATAATCGACAGAAAGAAACACCAGTAGGAGTAGTAGTAAGTTTCATCTCCGAATCACTACGATATTAAAAATCATTATCATGTGGATCTGAATTTTCAACAAATAGGAAAATTCTTATATGTACCGTCTCTAGTATGTACATATGAAAACAATACGATCGCTCTTTCTCAAATCTAGACTTGATACGAATATTTTGAACAAATGTTGAATAAATTTCGAATACGTTAGTTCAATTATTTTCATCGTAGGTATGTATTGTACTCGTACAATACACGTGTGCGTACATATGTATATGTATAGGATGAGTGAAGGGGCTCCATCCGTTGACTTTTCGACTTTGTAGAGTAAGCGGAAACGTTTATCGTGTCGGCACTTGGTGGTATCAACGAATCCTCCGATATAGTGCGTCGTCGTCGTCCATTGGGATTAAAAGCTGTAACACCCTCCTCCTCAACTACCATCGCGATCCCCTCCTCTGTCCCCCTCCAATCCCACAGTCCTCCTTCACTGTATCTTTCTCTTTCTACACGTCTTTTGCTCACTTTCCTGTGTGTAACTCTCCCGCGGCTCCCATTTTCTTCTCCTCTTTTCCCCCTAAAAGCCACGCGGCGAAGTAACCCTGGCACGGCACAGCGGTACTATGCCGTCCGGCTAATCGATACGCGGTGGATGGAGCGAACGAGGGACCCGAATAGGGTCCCCCGGACAGCAGAGGGTTGGAAGCAAACGATGGATAGGTGTTATTTCACCGAGGCGAGAATCGAAGAAAAGAGAAGCGAAGGGAAGGGGGAAGGGTGAGAGAGTCGGTATCCGAGCGAATCGGTCGGCGGAATCAATCCAACATTCTCGTTAACTTTTGACTTGGTCTTCTGTCAAACTACATACATATGCACATAGACGCGGCAGCAGACAGCAACGCCAAGTGGATCGATCCCTCCGCCGCGCCGCGCCGATCGAGGATCAATTCGATTCGCAATCGAATCCAACCGACCCAATATTTTCCCTATTTCTCTTTCATCTGCTTTCATTCTTCTTTTTTACTCCAATAATTCTATTATTACATATTCACATTGCTAGATATTACACGTATCGCTGCTTCGTTACTTCCAGCTCATTTTCTTTATCTCCGTCTCTATCTCCGCCTTCTTTATTCCGAGTAAAATATTCGCTGAAACGAGCTATATACACAGTACCAATTTCCTATCGATCCTCCGCTCTTTTATTTTTCTAATCGGACGATTCTGCGTTAAATCATCGCGATTGGAAATCTTTGTGCTTTTTCTTTCTACTTCTACTTCTACTCTCCTTTCTTCATCGCAATTCCTCCTTTTTCCTTCTCAACCAGTTTATTTCAGTGCAAGTTGCTCGCGAACAGTGTATATGTATGTATATGTATACTCTCGCAGCACAAAGCCTTATTCATAGTCGCCACGACCATAAGCGCCGTTTGCGTCTACCGCCATTGCTATCGCCATCTTTACCCTGTCCAATATCAAGGGGCCGCGCAGCGACAAAGCTTACAACAAAATAGAGAAAACCGAGAATCCACTCTAATAAAATGATTAGAGACAACGTTGAAATACCTACGCGATGAAATTTCACTCGCTATTTCCCTACCTACTACATATTGCCCCCTCTGCCAATCCTTCTTCCCAACGAACCCCAACGACCGAGAGAAAAATTCCGAACCGGTAGAACTTACTCGGTATGACCTATCTACATATGTAGGTACACAGTAGCTTCGTCGGATTGAACGCGATAAAAGCGTAATCTCGTTTATACGCACACGTTACATAAGCGACGGAAAATCGTTCATTTCAATCAATACTTTGCCCAAACTAACTGAGACTCGAACTAAGCTTAAAGAAGCATTTTCGACCAAAAAAATGCACTCGGTTGCACGCATACGTGTAGCTTGTACATGTACCTACACACTATCCCCATCACGCGATGGCAAGCTATGCTGCATCACGTTGCACACAACACACCACCCTGTTGGCCGAGCAGCATACGCTCGCTGTAGGTAGATACAGCTTCGTATCGATTTCTATTCTCCTTCTCTTTTCTCCTTCACCCCCCACACTATCATTCTCTCGCTCATGCACACATCACGCGAGCGAGAGAGCGAACGCGCGCGCGACCAGCAGAGCCGCGTAAGTATTTTTATGTGTTACACGTGCATGGATATTTTCATTTCTTCGAAAAATTTCCTTTTCCTTCGTCGAGTCAATCAGACGAGCAACAATCAGGATGGAATATGTAACGATAGATTTAGACGGAAATCTGATTGTAAGATTGACAAATTCTACCACATGCATACCACAAGCAGTCTCTGTATCTGGATTTGCGCGTCTTAACGTTTCCTAAATTTCACGTCGCGATCGTACGGGCGTAGGAAGAATGCGCAAATCGATTTAGCGAAATATGTATTAGGTGTATCGAACGTTCCTATCTCCTCTTTCTTGCTACTCGCTCCCCTTCTCCGGAATATGTATCGATCTGCCCCTTAAACAAACTCGGTTTCGTCCTCCGTTTGTCCCAACTTCATCGACCCGCCGCGTTCCCTATTTCGCTCCAATCGAACTTACTCCTTTAAATTTATTAATTATCCCCTGAATGAAATACCAACACGTTTTACGTGGCAAAAGGAACGAGAAGAAGAGATCAGTGCTTACCTGCAACTGTTAATGTTGCGTTTCGACTTGGAACAGAGCCTGCTTGATTTCTTGCAACACACCAATATACTCCTCCATCTTGCTCTTTCTTCCCGTGCATCACTCTCAAGAAAAACAGAGATCCCGTAGGAAGAAGAACACGATGAGATTTAGCATCTCCCGGTGATGTTTGAACCAGTTCACCGTCCTTATACCACTCGATCAGGGGCTGGGGTTTACCTTCCGCCTTACAATTCAACGTTACCGGTTCATTCTTGGCCACGATTATATCCGAAGGATGTTCCGTTATGCGCGGTGATCTCCATTGCCCTGAAACAACAATTTCGGCTGGTTCGCATTCAACATGATTCAGAGATGATATTGAAAAATTACAAACATTTCGTAGCACGTTAACTCGCCATCGCCGTTAACATCGTCGTTACCTATATACATACATATGTATACCTAAGTAAGTACACACACACACACACACACACACACACTTCATTTCCTCTTTCATTTCCCCTTATTTCGTTACATTCGTACATATACGTACATACATATGTATATATGTACGTATTTAGGTCGGCTGTAATTCTGCAATGTATAACATAGCTTCGAAATTGTTGGTTACACGATGAAGATAGACACGCTTACGGTTACCTGCTTCAGACTCCGCGCTCGAACAAAGCTATTTCAACTATCTCGGTATCGCTAGAGGGATTCTGAAATATTCTCGGAACGTACAGATACACAACCTATAGACCACGAACAATCTACGATCGCTTCGCGCAGTCTGCGCGAATTCTACCGAAACGTAAAAACGTCCGAGGGAAAACCACTCGAGCAATGTTTCACCACATCTGTGAGAACGTTCGCGTTCACTCCAATTCGTCAGCCTTCGTCGCACGCGTCTTCGAAAAAATATCGTCGTCAACTGTAAAATGTGCATCACTGTCGAACGAACATTTCGATTTTCACTCCTTCCTTTTCTTCGCTTCGACGCGACAGATGCTTTTATTTAGTCTTTATCGTGCTGCTCTATAAATATCTCTCACGGCGTTCGTTTGTACGCGCACCAAACCGCACGTGCACACATTTCTACATTTTTCTTTTGTCCTCTTGCCTCAGTATTCGGAAACAATAGACATTGTGGCTAAATTAAAATCGCCTCCGGAGTTTTCATATTTTGCTGTTGAACAGAGTCGCGAGCTAGCGCGCGCGAACCAACTCTCGCGCAGTTTTCGCGTGCTCGGTAGGCCTGAGGCATCTCGTTTCATTTCAGTTCTAACCTTCTCCGAATCAAGCTATCTCAGCAACCTGCCTTGCCATCCTCCCACTGTCACTCTTATTCCTTTTGTATCTCGTCATATCCATCTCCCTGTTTCTTCCTCCTTTTTTCCCTCCATCCCACTTTATTATTCCTTCTCAGGTTTCATCGACTTCCTATTTCTCCTCTTCTACTCTTTAGATCCTCTCGATTTCGTTTCATCTGTCTCTCGATCTGTCATCTCGTCCGACTTGATTCACCTATCGTAATCGATCCGCGTACACTATACCAACATAACAGACATGTCGAACTAACATATCGAAATGCTTAAAATTTGCTACTTACATGAATCCATTGTGCGAATACAACAATCCTAAATAGACTCGAAGGGAGCAGAGGACCATTGCTTGAACCATAACGCGTACACATCGTAAAGATAATGCGGCGGAAAGAGAGGGAGAGAAAGAGATCGAGACACAGAATGCTTCGACACACGATGACTTGGCTTACGGCTTCCACGACTGCAACGTGAGTATTGATTTGCCGCTGTTGCGCTTCAGCTCTGTCGGTTCCGCCGCCTTCGGTGGCTCTCCGCCCCAGCTGTGTTGGATCCTCGTGTTTTCTCCTCTCGTCGATTTTCCAGCTTCCGCTTCTTCTGTAAATCGCTTATCGTTTCCTTGCGTACATAACCCGCTTTCCTTTCTCTCTCCCCTTCTTCTTTCTATTCTCCTTTCCTGCCTCATTCCCTTCATCGCAATTCCTTTCCATTCCTCTTCTCTTCTCTTATCACGTAACACGTATACAACAATCGTTGGATGAATCATCATTACTTCGTACCGCTTCTCTTTCCAACTCTTCTTTGTATCCCCCTGCTAAATACGTCGTAACATATCTACTTGCATATGTATAATACTCGCCGATGTATTATACATTACAATTCGTTACTTCTCGTCCACGCTTCGTTTAAATCGACAACTAACAAAGTAACGCATACCGCTTGATTACTACGTAATGTAAAAAAACGTCCATGTTCTCGTTTCGTGTGCTAAAGTAACATTTCGTTTACAAAGTACGTATGTATATGCTCCCAAAGTTAAGAAAAAGTAGAAGAAAGGAACAATGCAGAAGAACAGAAGGTACGTAGCTCGAAAAGTAGATAGAAAACCAAGTACCAAAGTGCATTTGGCCAGAATCCAAGGTGTATGCTAGCAGCTACTAGTGCAAACCGGTACGGGGGAATCATTCCATTTTCAAACTATTATTTCTACTTCTTTTTTTTTTTACGGCTTTTACACTTTGCTTCATTGCTAATATCGCTTGTATGTATCTGGTAATAAATCTCCACTAGCAAAACGCACGTGCGTGCGTGTGTGTGTCAGAGAGAGAGAGAGAGAGAGAGAGAGAGAGAGAGAGAAGGAGGAGGAGGAGGAGGAGGAGGAGGAGGAGGAGGAAAGAAAGAAAGAAACAGTTTCATTACTTTCGATCCCTAAGAAGGATATTCTTGCAAGAGGGGAAGGTAGAAGACGAAACGGGAATAGTAACCATTGAATTCCTCGAGACGCGAGGGAAACCTAAGACGCACGCACGGAACCCTCCAAGAGGGTTCGACCGACACACCCTACTCGAGTTCTTTCAAAGCAGGGCTGCCCAAACTTCTGGAAAACACAGCAGCTTCGTATTACTTGAGAGAAAAATCGACGATCCGGTTTCTATCTCCGTTAATTAATTCTTTCTACTTTTTCCATTTCCTCGTCTCATATACGTTTTCCCTTCTTTCTGAATCAAACTTCTGAAAAACAAACTGTCTATTTACTTATTTACAACTAAACTAAATTAAAACCTTTATCGAGAGTGTCGCAGCAATTTTGTTATCCACTTGTTCCTTATTTTTCTTTTTCCTGCAAGTATATGTAGATAGAATAAATACATTCTGCATATTGGTCTTTTGTACACGAGCTTTAACATGTCACGCGACGAGCTTCTTTTCAACTTTCTACTTCTATTTGTTTTCATAAATCGAACGTGTTCCGTTCAATTCCAATATGCACCACCTTACTCTGCTCGCATAATTTTTGTCGACAATTCTCCAGCCATATCGGTGAAAAACGCTCAAGATTTTTCCACTCTCTGTACATCGTACGCGCAATACGCCGTTATTTATTCAAATATGTAGTTGCACTACTTGTAACGTTACATATCCGTTTTCTCCGTTCTATTCTAGTAAAATCGGTCTCTCCTCTCAATTTCTTTTTCAGATTAAACGATGCACGTACATTTCTTCGGCAGTAAGACTTTTTAATTGCTCTTCGGTAAAATGTAGGTAATCGTCGTATTTCTCATCTCGAAACGATTCTTTACTTCGATCTCCGCGATCGTTACTTCTCGAGAAATTTCATACACGTGCTGTAATTTCAAACACGCATTCAACGTAACGTTTACTCCAAGATTCATAGGTAAACTCGCTTGGTATCCAAGCGTCGCACATAACCTAATAGTTTCGTTTAACCTCGGCTAAACTCGACTACCTTCGCCAGACTTTCCATCCATAAAAATAGACCAACCACAATGTCTATCATCCAAGTATGTATGTATCTTTTTACTAGAACACACGATTAACAGAAAAACTTGCGAAAAGAGGAATTAATCATTCTAGGTGTATACATACATATGTACATGTGTTTTATTCGTCAATTTCGAAATGTTTTCATTCAAATCTTTAACGTCATTGGAGAAAAAAACTACCGCGTTCTTCGTTCTTATTCTCTCGTTAGACCATTTCTTCGTTTCTATAATAGAAAAATGTCTAAAAATGCATTTTATCCGATAAAATATCGAATAAAATATAGAACGCTACTTACTGCCCTTACCAACATTTTTCTTCATCTCTTCTTCCAACTTTTTCATCAAATTAATCAGAGTCAGTGTTGCGTCACTTTTTTGTCAGCACTATTTCAGCGAAACGAAGAAACGAACCGATTGTACCATTTTACCGGTATTTTAATTTTAAGACGATTATATTGTCCGTTATACGCATAATGCAACGAATGTGGTTATTCTATCGATTCTACGAATCAACAATTATTCAGTTTCATCGGTTTGTTTGCCTAACGTATCTATTCGCGATAAACATACCTCGGAAAATGTATATTTTCAAAAAAAATCGAAACGACCTTATGCTCACGTTATAGTATAGAATATATAATGCTCACGTTACAGTATAGAATAATAAAGGGAAAGGGAAAAGATGTGTACCGCATATGTATATGTGTGTAAGTACTTACACGCATACATAGTTCGAGACGTTCCTTCTTTATTCTAAAGTTTAACAAAGTTTAACGAATTATTTTCGTTACATATTCGTTGAAAGTATGTAGCTTCACATTTTCTTAGTTTCGCGTGTTATCATCCGGACGAACACACATACATAACGTTTCATTTCAATTTCGTCAATGACGATTCAACGAAATCAGCTTACGAACAAAAGATTTATCTTCGAAGAACTCTACCATTTGTGTCAGTTACTTCCAGTTCATTCGTTATCGCATGTCCGAAGAGAAGAACAACAAGGCATCGTAAAAGAAGAAATATCTCTAGTTGAACTCGTTTTCAGTAAACTTCGAACTGATCGATTCGTCATCTATCTGTTACTCGTAAATAATCAGCTAAAATTTCTTATTTTTATAGATTTGTCATAGACGTGCCATAATACATGCCTGTGTGAAATGTGAAGCAGAGAAAACACGAACAACGAGAGAAGTGAAAAACCGAAGGAGAAGAAAGAGGAAGGACGAACGGACGGACAAACGGACGGACTGACGGACGGACGGACGGTCGGACGAACAGACGGAGAGAAAGAGGAATGAATGAGATACATATGTGTTCGACTTACCATGTACCATAAGGGCGAAAATGATTGTCGCGAACAAGTTTCTTAGCCACTCGTTGCGCATTTTTCTTCCCAATAGCCAAAGATTCTGGGGAGGTCGTGAATCACGAACGAGACGACCGTTCACGATCGTTGCAACTTGGTGTTAACGCATGCTGATCGAACTTGGTGGAAAATTAGACGCGGGACCCGAACACGGGTAAATTGTCGAATGAAAATTGGCACAGAACACGCACTCGACGAGATATCGCGACGATGTTAAACCGGTAAGAGCGGCCACTCGCGAGAGGATTCTCCTTTCGAGTTTGGAGCACAGAGTAGCTTTCCAGACGAGAGGCGTATCTTTCGGCGTGACACTCGCGCGCGCCTCATTTCCATGCCATTACACGTTACCACAAAATACGCGTACGTATGTACGCACGAAGAACGCACACTTACACCCACATTATATCCAATATCCACCCACGCACACGCAATACCTACGCGCCTATCCGTACGTATACCACAGCCGATGTACGGATACACGTATCGCATACACGGACGTGTATTCGCATAAAGTAGCGTTAAAGCACTGACCGTCGTCGGTCGATCACCGCTAGTCCCATTCTTATCGAACAAAACCGACAATTGCTTTCGTACAACCAACTTCTGACATCGTTGAACTCAGCGCGCGCGCGCGCTCATGCACACGCCAACCGCATAAACGTATCAAAAATAACTCACGTATACGCGTACATAAGCACAGCACACATGAACACATCGACGCATAAAGGAAAACGAAATCATGAGCAATGCAGCACTAGGTGTCACGGGTTCTTCTAGTAGTACACTTTCATTCTCTGTCGTGGAGAGACGTAGTGAAAGAGGGCAGGAGATAGATACACACACACGCATATATATATATGTATATATACATGTATATATATATAGAGAGAGAGAGAGAGAGAGAGAGAGAGAGAAAGAGAGAAAGACAGAGGAGAGAGGAGTGAGAGAGAAAGGGGAGGGAGAGAGAGTGAGTGAGTGAGTGAGTGAGTGAGTGAGCGAGCGAGCGAACGAGCGAGAAAGAGAACTATTCTAATTCTTTGATCGATCCAAGCCGCGCGTCCTCATTGCCACTGATAAACGTACAAACACTGATTCTAACGATGCGTTACTTGGTTAGGTATCCATTTGTTCGGTATCCTTTTATTCCCTAAACTCCTTGTTCGATCGATTGGTTTCGTTTTTTCGAAGGACGGTGTTCCTTCCGAAATCGATCGTTTCGTGACCGACTGTCGAGCAACGCGTCGTTTCTCTGTTTTTCAAACAGTTATCTACACTTGCCGTTGCATTTGCCATTTTCCGTTGAAGGGATACGCGTTAGTTAACGACAAAGTAGAGACATGAAAATTGTACACACACACATACACACACACAGAGACACACATACAGTAAGTACGGAGAAATTCAGTTTTCAACCACTAAACCCCCCCTATTCGACGAATAATCAAGTCACCGCGACGATCGAGTCACGACTGAGGGTGCAGCAATTCTTCTGGAGCACACGCGGCCCTTCGGCTGTGTTCGTCCATCCTCGTTGTTTCTCGGCAACAGCTTCGGTTCTCAGCTCTAGGTTGTTCTCAGTCGACGACGGTTCTCAGGATCGCAGAATACACAACACACACGCCATTTCCACTATAAATTATTGCCCTATTCTTGCAATAATCACTAGCTTTTTTCTACATCTTCGATCAAATAACACAATCGAGCCATTACTACACACCGGTGAGAAACTCTACCCAATTATGATAATACAATTATTTCCACTTGTAAATAGTGAAATAGCAAAATTCCATTTATATTTCAATTCCAAAGAAACGCACGCGGTTTTCTATCGTGTTGTTTCTTTACGTGAATTTAATAGATATAATTGCGTTTACTCAAGGTGACAAACAGGTGTGTTGCGATAATACTATTCGTATACGAAGGAAATTCTCCGATTCGAACAAACGATAGTTTTTTCACGCATGATACAGACAAAAAGAGATTCGCGATACGAAGAAAGCAGAAAACAATAGTTCGGTGGCTTGTAAAGGGGTGAGGAGATAACGGTAGGATCAACAGCAAAGAAGGTGCGAAGAATAGGTATACGCAAAGTGCGTTGCTGATGCCGGAAATGCATCGACCGATCGAACAATCGTATACTATACGCCAACTATCTATTTAAACTCTTCAATTTCTCCAGGTACATATTTGCCAATTCAATCAACGGACACATACATATGTATAGGTACTACGATCAAGTATATACCTGCTGATTTGGTAAGTTTCTTTCCCTCTCTAGGAATAAGCTGAAACTGGTACATATTTGGAAAAAGGGACGAACGGATGTTTCATAAAGAACACACCGGTGAAATTTTAGATGCGAAGCAACACATTTTCCGACTCGAACGCTTCTTCACCGTGCAAAAAATATTCCAGAAGATCTACGACTATTTCACGACGAGGCCTATCGAAAAATTCACCTATGGTTTCACGCGGATCTGTGGAGGGTTGTCTGTGTAATAATACGTATCTGTGAAAATTAGCTTCGATTAGCTTATCATTCAACTTTTATCGCATACATATGTAAATGATTAAAAGTGGCAAATTCACCTAAGCAGAACAGATATCAACCCTTTGATTTCTGGATGTAGCTTTAAATAAAGTTCGTTTTCGTTTCTTTCGGTGGTTCTCCTCAAGTTCAGTCTGATTTTTTGGTATTTGTTCAAAGCTCCGATGTCATAATTTAGCGTACCATACGGCGGATCCTTTGGGTGAAAGGCGTGACAGTTTTTCGGAAATTCATCCATAGAAACGGATCATCGAATGAACTTCACTCCGCGCTGTTATATAACTGTGAAATGAAAGACAGTTTTTTTTTTTTACACATTAGGTTCGTCACCAAGCAACGAATCGATCCTGCTGCTCTCGGTACTCACGGAGTTCCGGTACAGAATTGTGTTGGAAAACGTATATAGGCCATTGTTCATATCGGACGACCTTCCGATGATTTCTTATTCGCTGCCGCTCGTTTGGGAATTCCACTATGTACTACCACTAAGGGAAAGTACTACGAATGCTCGCCGTTTTTGGTTGCAAAAATTTTCTAGAAAAGTAAGGCACCAAGAGAAGAGTATAAAAATGCTTTCGATATCGTTGGCATGCGACGGTTACCTAACAGAGAGGAAAACAGCACATCGGAGAGAGGGAAAGATGAGTAAGGATGTACGAAGGAGGAAATTCTCGTTTCTGGTTTAGCGTATAAACGATATTACAAACGTTTCGTAGTATCTTCGACGAAGAGGAAGGAAACAGATCACGCATGTTTAAGGAACGTGTCGCGATTACGTTACTCTGTGTTCTTTGTACTTTGGTGCACCGTGTGCACAATAACACAGAATCGAGCAGAGACTTTCTACGAAAATGTTGCTTCGGTAATATCGATACCATCAACGATCGTAAAAATATGACGATGATTTCGTACGACGGCGACGGCGACGGCGACGGCGACGGCGACGACATGTCATGTTGTACAGCGTGCTGCTTCGAAAGTGAGTAATACCGGTAAATCTTACATTAGAATCATTCGTAAAAGTAAAAGTGTTTCAGATAAGGAATACGTCGAGGGAAGAAAGGATGCAAAACGGTTTTGTTTAAAAGCATGTTTAAAAGACGAAACCTTTCGGAAGGTGTGGAGTTACAACGGAAGCGACGACGACAGTGTTAACAACAACAACAACAACAACAACAACAACAACAACAACACCATCGACAATATCTGCAGCAGGATTAACAACGAGTCGTTGCGCGAGAATAGAACAAAGGCAGGACGACAGTGCGACAGCGTGTTTACTTCGCTGAATTTCTGGGGTGCCAATATAGTCATATTTGCAAACATTATTTACATCATCCCCTATCTGATCGTTGTACTCGTTTACTCGGCTGTTCCAGGCTTAGGTAGCCGAGCTTACGACAAAGCCGTGATATGTTTCAACGCTTCCCAAATTATCCTGAACGGTATTTTAATCAGCGTAGGTGCTTGCATTCTCTGTCACTTGTCGATTCATTCCAACGTTTATATATTTTCGGGCTTGACAATCATGTTTCTCACCATATCTTCGACTTTTTGGCTCTTCGTTATTTGCATCGATATGACATCGGTGATTACAAGATTCGATTCCACGTCGTCGAGAAACAGAACGAATCAGCAGTCTCAAGAAAGAAAGAAATTTTTCACGTACGCTGCTTGGACCTGGGGCGGTTCGTTGTTACCAACAGCTTTAGCTTGCGTCGCAGAATTGTCTCCGTTACTTCCAAAATCCTCTCCGATCAGACCGAATTTCCAAAGAATTCAGGACGGTGCAAATCTGCCCGTTATCATTTACGTAGCGACATTTCCAGCTATAACTTGTCTCGCCAATTCCGTTCTGTTTTGTTACACGTCTTACAGAATGATTCTGATACAGAGGTCGACAACGCTCGCAACTGCAAACAACAACGCAACAACGTTAAACAACGTCAACAAGGCGAGAAGAAAACGGTATTTCCTTTTCTTCAGACTTTACCTTTTGATGGATACACCGTGGATTACCAGCGCGCTTGCTGCCGCTTTCACCGAATTATGGGTGTTGAAATTTTTTCGAATGATTCAACCGATTCTCATGTTACTAGCCATTTTGCCTCCACGAACGGTTTCCAGGATTTTCACGTGCAATTCTGTGCTCCGCAATCTCCGGTAGAACTCTTGTGTACGCGCGTGACCAGAAGTACGATACTCGTATTCTACGCACCCTTTATATTCGCACGGGGAAGAGCCCCACTCCCGCGCGCGTGTGTGTGTGGAACAGTTTGGACCAACTGTAGGGGTAACGTTACGCAAAAACCGATGTCACGCGATTCCTTGAACAACTCCTAGTATTACATGACCCATATGTGAGCTCAATGTCGCAACGATTATTAGTTTACATCGGTATTAGCTAAGCGCAGCGCAGCGCAGTGGGGTGTCAACCGATTCCAATCGGTATAAAATCCTCGCTAGCGAAAAGCAACGGCACGCAGTTGTTACACAGAGGTGGTATCGGAACGTCGTTGACTTTTCGATCATCATGGATTGTAAAGTAATTGCTTTTCTCTCCTTTTTCAATTCTACACACGTACAAATACTTATCTTCTTCGAATCTGTATACAGATCGTCGGTTTCTTGGCTGTTTTGTTAACCGTCGCCCGTGCAGGAATAATCGGACAGAGCGCAGGATTGATCGCTCCGGGTGCGGCAACGGTAGCAGCAGCAGCAGCAGCAGCTCTTCCACCGGCTGCTATCGTCAGAACTGAAAATTACGATCCGAATCCTCAATACAGTTTCAGTTACAGCGTTGCCGATGGCCTTACGGGTACGTACATCCCCCTTGTACTTGCCACTTGGTAAAAATTATCGACGAAACGTTATTGTCACAGGTGACAACAAAGCGCAAGAGGAAACTCGTAACGGCGACGTGGTTCAAGGTAGTTACAGCTTGATCGAACCGGACGGTTCGCGACGAGTGGTCTCGTATGCCGCCGACCCTATCAACGGTTTCAACGCTGTCGTTCAGAAGGACCCTAGCATCACGGTGAAGACTGCACTCGCCGCGGCGCGACCTGTCGTCGCACGACCAGCCTCGGTAATCGCTGCTCCATCCGCTGTAGCTGCTGTCCGTCCACAGGCTGCACTGTTGGGTGCTCCGATATTGAGACAACCGCTACTAGCAGCACCGACGGTAGCTGCTACGAACGTACTCGCCGCCAACACAGGATTGGTAGGCCTTGGCGTGGGTCTTGGACTTCGACCAGGCTCTCTTTACGGTACGCAGGCTCTACTCGCGGGTGCTTACGGTACCGGAAGCATCGTTAAGGTTCATTAAAGTAGAAGGACTGGATGTAAAACTCAATTCGACTCGGCACTCTATTTCTGCTTTGCTCTAGCGAAGGGCAAAGTTGAGATAACAATGACAAGCGCATACACACACGTGCATTCTGTGACAGATAATTTCATTATCACCGCGACATCGTGTCATACTTGTAAATCTCCCCAAATTTTTTTTTCATCTACTTACCTCGGTCATTGGTGTTACAGATGCAAACAGTGAAACACGGTAGATTTATGGTTGAAAAGCATGTTTTCACGTTACAACGATGTCACGAAATAAATACAACTGGTTTCGTACGTTCCTTTATTTTCTCCTCTGGAATTACAGGGAACTAACCTGAAAATATATTACCACAATCTCAGAGATCGTTAATTCAATTCAGTTACGTGGATTCTGATGATTTTAGATAACTCGATAAATAACTTTGTTCGTCGCTTCGGCTGCACCGCGGTACAATTTGAACGTGGCGTTGGAGGATAGGGAAGAAAGGAATCGGGCCGAAATACTAGTAACGGTCTTCGGGCTTTTTTTTTTCATTTCAATACGCGTACGATGCTAATATACTAAATATATCAAAGTCGGGAGATAAGAACGCCGATAAATAACCATCGGCAATACGAGTCGGGAATATTTTTCTAAAAAAAAAAAAAAAAAACTAACCATATACTTAACTCGGTGAAGGATTGGTCGATACGAAATAATCGAATCGATATTATTACAAAGAATTCGTTAATGTAACGTCGGGAATATTTTTCAAAAAAATAAACCGAGAAAGGGTTAAATCATGGTTGATACGAAATAATCGGTTGATCGAATCTTCGTTAATTAAATCTTCGTCGATAAGACCCTGACAAATATGAACGTCGTTGGTATGTATACAAAAAAAAAAAAAACTAACCCAATACCGAACTCGCAAAGCAGAAACCTTGGCCCGAATGTGAAATTTGGTGAATATGTCCATAAAAAAGAAACTAACCCAATTCGCAAGTCGGAAAGGCAAACCCTAGGGAATATTTTTCTAAAAAAAAAAAAAAAGAAAGAAACTAACACAATTCGGAAGGACAAACCCTAGGGAATATGTTTCTAAAAAAAAAAAAAACTAACCCGAAAATAAAAAATTGTCAGAATGTCGCTGATATGTTTAAAAATAAAAAAAAAAGGCCTTCCCAGAACTGACTTATCCCGAACTGACCTTCCTAGAACTGACTTCAGCGTCCTTGAATGGACTGGTTATTTCCGAAAATTCGAATCAATCCACCTATTTTTTTGAAAAAGAGAAACGGAAGCTCTTTTTTCAAAGAATTCAAACGGACTATATCGCTGGTAACTCCTCGATGTATCGAGGAATTTGCCGTTAAAAGGAACGTCTATTCGATCGAACCCTTTCGTTTTATCCGTCACGTCTCAAGTACGATCGTAATAGTTGCTGCGTAACTCCCAACAGGTTACCTATCACGACGATTCGCTGAACAATTGTACGCCAAAAAGTAACACCGCGTGGAGGTGTATTTATTTAAACATATAAATTATCTGTGTAGTGATTCTCATAATCCATATTATTATGTAATTTGAACCCAAATATTTGAATTACACATCTGACAGGGGAATTAGAGTGAAATTTTGTTAGAGTAAATTTAAATTACAGACCCGGAAAAAGAACGGATGTCCACCTCGTGCCCTCTACCTGTACCTGCGCAGACTTACACAGAAACAATCGACATTTTAAATTGGACGTACAGATAGGGAAGAAAAGGACAATTCGTACGTCAAACTCTTCCGCAGGTGCCATCTAACAACAGGTACGAAGACTGAAGCTTCTAGCAACAGCTCATAGATGGCAGAAGCATCGGCATATGATTGTGTGGTGTGTGCGTGCATGTGGCGTAGTTGTCATATTTTTCTGCTCTCGCGCGCACATGTGTGGAGTTAGACGGACGAGGTTATGTATTTCGTTTAGGTGGTAAGTTTACGGTTCAAAGATTCGAAAAAAACATTTTCGATTTAATTTGTAAAACTGAATTTTCTTACTTAACGCAGTACCAAAGATGCAAGGAAATCGTACGTCATAATTATCAAGGACAGTTTATTCATATGAAATTTTGTTAGAGTAAATTTAAATAATATTACAGAGCCAGAAAAAGAACGGAAGCCCACCTCGTGCCCTCTACCTGACCTGCGCAGACTTACACAGAAACAATTGACATTTTAAATTGGACGTACAGATAGGGAAGAAAAGGACAATTCGTACGTCAAACTCTTCCGCAGGTGCCATCTAACAGCAGGTACGAAAACTGAAGCTTCTAGCAACAGCTCATAGATGGCAGAAGCATCGGCATACGATTGTGTGGTGTGTGTGTGTATGTGGCGTAGTTGCCATTTTTTTCTGCTCTCGCGCGCACGTGTTTGGAGTTAGGCGAACGACGTTGTACGTACGGACGAGGTTATGTATTTCGTTTAGGCGGTAAGTTTACGGTTCAAAGATTCGAAAAACACATTTTCGATTTAATTTGTAAAACTGAATTTTCTTACTTAACGCAGTAGCAAAGATGCAAGAAAATCGTACGTCATAATTATCAAGGACAGTTTATTCATATTTGCCGCCTTTGGATTCACACACCAGCGAGAGGAAACGGAGAGATTTTAAATAAGTAAGTAGCTCTAAACAATTGTTATAAATTCTTTTATATTAATGTAAGATATTAATTTAGACATTTCGCAACAACTGGCAACAGGAGTTTATCGCGGAAAGAATTGGGCGAAAGGTTAGAAGGTGGCGAATTGAAAAAATCGAAGAACGACAGTATGGTACGTATATTTCTATTCCAGGCGTATCTCAATGTGCGTATTTTTCATTGTTGGAATACTCTGCATATGGAATTGGGATAAGCGTGTAAGAGTGAACGTTGAAAATAGCATATGTTATTAGTATTAGCGATAAGTGCAACATAGTTGAAATCAACAATATTAATCTTTTTGTGGTACATTTAGGAAATATACAATCTTAGGTGGAACAAACTTTGGAGAAGTTTCCGTGGAGGTTGGCATCTGCAAAGGACATATTCTTCTGCTGGATTTCACTTGTAATTATGATAGACAAGTACAATTAAGGGCCCTTCTGAGTTTTCATAAATTGATAGTTTTAAGTGTCTTGTAAGATATGTTTCAAGTTATTCTAAGATATGTTTTACTCAGGCAAGAAAAGGTCATCTTACGACGGACTAGCAATTAGGAGGAACAAGGATTCCGATTTCTTCGCAACATATGTTTTGTCCAAAAGGTTCTAATAGTTGCGCTGAAGCTAATTACGAACTCGAACGACATGCTTCATTACTCTGGAGAACTTAGAAATGTAAAATTCAAGTTTTAGAAATCTTTTCTTTCTTAGCAAATCTTTATATTTTCAAAAGTTTCACTGCAAAAGTACACTGAAATTGCTACCTAATCTTATCAAAAAATGCTTGGAGTGCAAAGGGTTAAATAGTCGAGTTTTATTAAACAGATGTGTTGGGGGGCGAAACAGTAATGAAAGTTACAATGCCGTTACTATTCTACTATTCAATATGACGGCATTTTTTAAATAATGATTTTTTGTTTAAATCCCTATGAATTAAAAAAATCTTCGCTATTCTGTTGCAGCTCAATTTGCCGAGAAGATTCCATCAGCCTTTTCTAGCCTGCGCATATTGACTGTATATGTGACATTTGTATGAATAAATTTTGTGTTTGAATATTTCTTTCTTTTACCCTTCATTGAACAAAAACTTCTCTGAAATACTCTTTTTCAAACGACTGTAAGGACGTTATTCGTATATTCTAGTTGGTGAATTAGTTGTTACAAAAGTATTATTTGAAAAATGCTACTACTACTACTATCGTTAATTGTATCGTACAATTGTACAACGCGACTACCGTTCTTTTTATTCAAATTTAATTCGACGTCACACTGGCGCCACCTGGATCAAAATTAATTTCTATTTCGAGTATCGATTGTACTACCTGAAGTCAAGAAAAGACGCGTTCGAGTGTCGCGCGTGGCGGCAGAACGCATCAGTACGATTTGTGCGTTCGTGTAGGAAGGACTAAGTAAAGTGTGAAAATGTGAAACGTGTATCACCGTGGAAGTTTGAGGACAATGGTAAGCTTTTCTTATTAGTGTTATCAAAGATCGAATATTGCACGCGATGCGTGTATTTATTTGAATTTTGTGTTAGAAAATTGTTCGGAATAATACGGCAAAACCAATTGTGACTTGAACGTTATTATTATTCGGGACGCTAGGTGCGGCAGTTGTTGGCATTTCCTTGTTTATTATTTTTTCATCAGCATTATTGTTATTTTATTACTACGACGCGTAGTCCTCAGCTTGCTTTCCAAAATCAGAGACGCGCATTTTCGTTATCTCGGTGGCCGTCGGTGAAGCGTGTAACTCAACACCACCCGGTTTCTCTTTGTTTGCCCATGGTGTTTTTCTAAAATTTTTTCTGTTTAGATACGCACGCCACTTAACGGTTTGTTTAGTTGAGCCGCTGGCGAGAAGTATATACCAAAGCGTATAACAAGTAGGTTAATAATTTTTCTATTTCATTGTTACCTTTTATTCGAAAGTGTTCGTTCGGCAAAGGCGGGCGAGTTTAGTGAAAAGCTTGAAAGTCGGGCGCGTTGTTATAAAAAAAAAATTGGTATCGAATCTTGGATAATTGAATGCTACTTGAATCTTGGATAATTGAAAGAATATTCTAAAAAATGTGTACAAATATGTTTGTAAAAAAAAAAGTAAACTCAAACAACTGTAAACTAATTTGTAACGAAATGCAATACTTTTCATTGCAGCCCAGCTGGAAAATTCTTCGCTGCCATCCATCGGAGACGACGACGACGACGACGACGACGACGACGACGACGACGACGACGACGACGACGACGACGACGACGGGGTTCTGGACCGCCGACGACATCGGTGAATTACGGCAAGTAGTTACGTTTATTCCACATACATTAGGTTAATTCCACGCTCTGTCATTAATTCAGTAATCGACCAGTGTTGAATATGAAAAAATTGACGTAATGGAAGGAGGGTAGAAGCAATAATGTTAGAACGTTATAACGTTAGAACGTCGGGTTAGAGAGTTGGGAGTATTATTATAAAAAAAAATAACTTGCTGCCGAATTCGCAAAAAAAAAATCGATAATTGAATGTTGTGTTAATTGAACGTTAATTGAATAATCGTTGATCGGATCTTAGAATCTTTGTTAATGTGATGTACTTTTGTAAAAGAAAAAAAAAGTAACCTAATGCCCAAAGCGTTTTTCCCGAGTTCGGTTAGTTTACATATTCCCGACGTTATATCAACGAATTACTTTGTAATAATATCGTATCAACCAACCCTTTACCGAGTCGATATTAGGTTGGTTTCGAAAAATATTCCCGTCGTTCGTATCTCCGACTGTTCGTTGTTTTTAATTAGACTGTTATCTCACTGTATTAGCAGTGTCAGGTATTAACTATTCCATTATTCAATCGACGATTTTAATATCTCCGGCGGTTGTTTAATTGGCGAGTAGCTTGTTATCTCCTTATTCCTCTGCAGCCCCCCCGCGTCTAAAGTATATCGAGCCATTTTTGAAGAATTGTTCTGTATGTTATTCGACTGCTTTATTTTTGACGCTGGATCCTAACCGTGTTACAATGTCGCGATAAGGTGTTCGACAAAGGGATCCCGCGAGGAACCGCGGCGAGGGGGCTCGTGTTTCCGTGCCGCCAAATGCGCTGGACGTCTTCCGTCGCATTTACCACACGCGGTCCTTTTTTATTTTTCAAACGTACCGCTTCTTCGCTGCCGTCACATCACGTCTGATCAGTTTGATTTAATTTGTTGATATGAACGTCGGGAGTATTATTATAAAAAAAAATTAACCTACTGCCGAACAACAGCAAAGAAAAAATCGAATTGTTAATCGCATCTTGGATAATTCAACAAATATTCGAATCTCACGCCGATATTGTTAGAATGTGTATTGTTACAAAGTAATAGAATATTTCGTCGGAAATGTCGTTAATATGTTTATAAAAATACAAAGTAACCCAAAGCGTTTTTTTCCGTAAAGTTTCGATAAGAGTTCCGCTAGGCAAAAGCAAACTGTATTTTACCGACGTATTGAAATTCGAGCGAGTGCTACATATCGGCGAGACAACACTAAAAGAAACATATGCATGATATTTTACTGATTGAAATAAGATTGTGTTTACTATGGCGGATTTCTAAAAGTAAGAATATTGTTCGGCCGCGGAGTTAGTATGTGTCATGCGATAAGGAGATTCCGCGGCATATTAGTCGGTTGCCTGGTTCGCCCCCCTTGTGGTGGGGATGGAACTTTTACTTTCGCTCTTTCCGAAAAACCGTTGGGGCAGGAATTCTGTTGCGCATTTAACGAAGGATATTACGTTTCAGCGTTTCTCGATTCGTTTTTGCTTCGTAATAATCCAACCATGATAATTGAACGTTTGTTAGTATGAACGTCGGTTGTATTTTTATGGAAAAAAAAAAAAAAAATGCCGAACTCGCAAAAATAAACGAATCTTCGGTAATTGAATCCTACGATAATTGAATTAATATGAAAGTCGTGATTATTTAAAAAAAAAAAAAAAAAGGGAACCCAATGTCCAAAGCGTTTGTATATTCACCGGTATTAGCTTGGTATTTCCGACGTTATATTAACGAATTACTTGGTAATAATATCGATTCGATTATTTTATCAGCCGAGTATTTGGTATTAACCCGATATTTCCGGTGGTTTAATGTACGAAGATTCGATCGACGTAAGATTCAATTAAGTTTCCGGCGGTCTACCTTGACTTGAATCGTTCCTTCCTGTAAACGGGGTGTTAATTTTTGTTGCATGTGTCGCCGAACGTGCTGCTTCTTTGTTGCAGTTTCGCGTGATCGTGTCGCATCCGTCCATCGGTCCTCCACGGTTCAGAAGACAATCATCGGACGATTTACAACAATTGTCGCAAGTTACGTTCCTCTGTTGTTATTTTTGTAATGTTTCGACTGATGTATCTTCTTCACGCAGGTACGGATCGTCATCCGCCGGTTGAGACAATCATCGGGCGATGTGCAACTATTACGGCAAGTACCGTCTTTCATTTCTCCACCATTCCTCTCTCTTTCGTTAATCGTATCGTCGGGAATATTTAAAAAAAAAAAAAAATGTTGAACTCGGTACGTGACCTTCGTAGAACTGACTTGAGCGTCCTTGAATCGTTATTTCCGTTCCTGTAAACGGGGGGTGGTATCGAGGCTTTTGTTATTCGACTGTTTTTTTTTTCACGCATGTATCGCCGC